GCCCTGCCCTGGCCATCCCCACCTAGGGGCTTAGCAAACGTTATTTTTTCTGTTAATTCTATTTTTTCTGTTCCATTATTTTGGGCAAATCGGCGTTAGTCCGCAAGAGGCATACCTAGACTCACTAGGCCTTTGTAACAAACCACCTGCAAAGCTGGGTGTTCCCGTGTTATCTAGCGCCCTTTTTGGGAAAAAAAAATAATTAAAGGCTTCATCCACAAAGGGAGAGGAGAAACAATAAAACCCAACTTAAAATACGTTTGTCTCCCTGTCGAGTTCCTGCGTGACTGAAATCGCAGTCCTGCGCTCAGAAGGACCTCCCGCCTCTGTGAAGCTGCTTTTAAGAAGCTTGTAAGAACTTTCTTTACTTCCTGTAACTTAAAAAAACCCGGTATTTTTATCCCTTTGGCTGCGTGTGTCTTTTATTCACTGTTCCGCAGTATTTCTGGGCCAAGTTGAAAAATCTGCGAGGAGGGCTGGTGATAGAAAGGCTGGCTGATCCCTGCTGTGTTAAGCTGTACAGGAAGACGCTGAAGCGTTGAACACATTGGTTAGTTCTTTGCTTATATTAACAAAAAGTCTTTTGACTTTTTAGTCCCAGCTTAAGCAAATGAACGAACGAGAAAGAGCCTCATCTCCTCCGATGCATAGGGATGTTGTATTTCACCTTGAGAACGTGCTGGAAGCAAGTCTGTACCAGGAGCAGCTTTTGAATGACATGCATATACTGAAAAATTGACTGAATGGAAGGTTAAGGAAACTGTGGTAACGTACCCAGCGAAGGTGAGCATCACTTACGGCTGGGAGAGAGTAAATGCCGGAAGAACTCTGGCTTTCTTTTCCCCACTCTTCTTACCACCTCCTTGCTATCCCCGAAGTGCCTCTTACAGCTCACGGGAAGCTGCGGTAGGAAACCCTGCTACAGTCTTTCTGTGACTTCTGGAAAGACCCTTGTCTTCCTCCGAAAGTCGAGAATCTCTAGGATCGTGAGCAAAAGTAACGGCTTAAGCAGGCTTCTGAAATCCGCTAACACTTTCATAAAGTAGCTGTAAACCAGGCATTTTCTGTTTTCCTTGATATGCATTACGGGAAGTAAAATACGTGTTTCTTTTTGCTTTCAGGTACTGATATTGTACTAGTCTTGCTCCTCTACTTCGAGTCAGCATGTCGAAGAAATCAGAGGCCCCGCTTGCCTTGTCTGACTGCCTCTGCCAAATCTGCATGGAGGTCTTGGTGGAGCCCGTGACGCTGCCATGCAACCATACCCTCTGTAATTCCTGTTTCCAGCTGACCGTTGAAAAGGCCAGTCTTTGTTGCCCTTTTTGTCGGCGTCGAGTCTCTTCCTGGGCACGATACAATGCCCGCAGAAATACTCTGATCAACTGGGAACTCTGGGAAAAGATTCAGAAGAATTACCCGAAGGAGTGCGAGCGTAGGATTAACGGACAGGATTTGGAAGAGGAAAGTAAGTAAAATGGCACTTATGCTGGGATGTCTCTGCTTTACCAAAGTAATTCCCGTTGGTGGACTTTGGATGTTGTGAAATGAGAAACTGTGCATAGACAGGCTGTGTTACGGCCAGAAGATGCAGCGTCAGAGCCCTCCTGTGAAAGGGGCTTGCAAGGCAGAGCAATGGCCGTCTGCGCCTTTTTTGGTGGGGGTACAGAGGGTGAGTTATATTGTCTGGTTGTTGAGGTGGGTGCTTGTTCATGTGTTTTTGCGCAAAGCATCAGTGTATGGCAGCCTGTTCTTCCAAAGGCAGTTCACTACTGGTACAACTGCAGCTGTAAAATCTGCAAGTGGAGCACTTGCGTGTCTGCTACTATCAGGTGAGTGAAGTGGTTGAATGGTTTTGGGTTTTTTCAACCCTTAGGTGCTGTTAATTAGGTTGGTTAGAAATTCCAGGGCTTCAGTCTGTGCAGGGGAGTCTCCAAGCCTAAAATTGTGGTGTCGGAGAAAAGGAGGTGAAATCTGGTTAACTTTTTGAAGAGGGATTTGGGGTTTTATTGTGTTCTAAGCTCTGCTGGGGGAGGCTAACTGGTAGGTTGGCTCTATGACATGTTGTTCCACTTGCGGTATTTATGACATCTTTTTAATCGCAAAAGACATACGTTATGGTCATTGTACTTATTTGCTGTATGTACAAGGCTTGGAAAACACTGACCGCTGTTGCCACTCTGTAAACTAGTGCTTTTTTATTTCGTTCCTTTGTAACACAAAATGCTTTTCTTCCACAATGCTTAAATTAAGGCAAATCATTCCTGTGATGGGGTATGGAAGTGATCTTTTGTTAAAATCTTTAATCACGGACTGTCACGATCTTGCTTTGTTCCTCACTACTACTGTTTGTTTTTTTTCTCTCCTTCCTCTCATTTAGTTTTTGTCCCCCATCCACAACACCAGCTGAGCAAGCCTGGGGAACTGAGGCAGGAATATGAAGCAGAGATTAGCAAGGTCAGTCTAAAAACATCATTAAAAGCATAAGTGCTTTGTATCTGGTTATTTTAACTGTTCCCACAAACAGCTGTCGTGTTGTTTAATGAAAAAGAAAGATACTTAAAAAGGCATTGCTGCTGCAAGAATGCACTGGTCATTCCCTAAGCACAAATTGAATTTTTGTCCTTTACGGAAGAGGAGAGACTTCTCGCGCTTAACATGAGGCGATGTTTCTCAGTTTTCATGTGCTAGTTGATGTATACCTCCTTCCTCACCCTCTCAGCTGCTCCCGTAACATATGCTATCGTCTTGTCCCCACAAGTAGGTGTGCTTTGCAGGGCAGGAAACACAGAGGTGCAGACACAGCAGAGCGCCCAGGTCTCTTAATCAATACCTCATATTTCCCCAAAATCTGCCAAACAGTTCTTTCAGGGTTTGAGTGTCACACTTTTGCTGTCTGCATCCCTGCCCACACATAATAAAATGGCTTTTGTAGGTCCTCAGATGCACGTAAAGTGAAATTTTGAATTGTTTTGGCTTTGGTCCTGTACTTGCCTTCTTGATTCCCCTCCCTAACATACCACAATTAGATGAACTGGGTAATGAACATAGAGCGTTCTCTTTCCTATTTGCTCGCTCCCTGCGTTATCTGTGTTCATTTGAAAGTCAGTATTTTTAAGAGATCTTAATGTTTGTCTAAGGATCTCAAGGTTCCTTCTTCCTCCAATTCAGACACAGTAGCAGTAAGAATTCTGGTTCGAAGTAGCATCAGAACGCACCTTTCCCTGACAGCCCCGTTGCTGGTTGTTGCAAGAGCAGGGGGAGTACGTGAAACGGAGGACTGGGGGATTGTCTTTGGTGGTGGTTGTGGGATGAGATTGGCTGGCAGCAGTAATATAGATGGTTAATGGAGGCGGTGTCAGTGAAATGTGTAGTGGTGTCTGGTGCCAATCATAAGGCATCGGTATGTGATTTGAGCCAAACTCAGACTTAACATAGCTTCTATAGTATTACCGCTTGACACTTCTCTAAAGCAAATTTCCAAATTCCATTACCCATTTAAGAAAGCTTTATTCATTCTCGAAGTACTTTGCTGTCTTTGTGGAGTTACTGAAAACTGATTTACCAAGCGTGGATGTCTGCCATGAAGAAGGCAGATTCAACATTCTTGGTCTGCTGCTTTGGGGTTTGTGTGTTTCAAGAGAGCAGAAGGACTCAGAAGAGAGATGTGCTGTCTTTTAGGCGTCTTGTGCTAATACTGACATTACAATGTAAGCAGGTTGAGCAAATGCTGTGGTCTAGCTGGCCTTATAAGAATCCTGAGTTTCTCTGTGATCCATGTATTTGGAGATGTTTTTGTTACTAATGTTTTTTGAAGGCAAGTAAATTAATTTTAACCTTGCAAGCTAGCACGGTTAATGGTGTAGTCTTGGAGAAACCAAAAGGTAGGTCACTGTGTTCAAACCGAAGACTCTACACATGGTATCAGTTTGATTCTTACATCTTTGGGGAGCTGTGTAGTTAAATACTGGCTTTGAAGTGTGCAGAGTGTCTTTGTGAATAGTGGATCAGTCATGTTTAAGTGGAGTCAGCTGAGAGGTTCTGGTGTCAAGTGTGGTCCTACGGTACTAACCTTAGAAAAAAAAAATCTTTAGGTGGAGGCAGAAAGGCGAGCACATGAACAAGAGGAGAACAAGGCAAGTGAGGAATACATTCAACGGCTGCTAGCTGAAGAGGAGGAGGAGCAGAGACTGGCAGAAGAGAGACGGAGGGAGATGGAGAAACAGCTGAAACAAGATGAAGAGTTGGCCTGGCAGCTGAGCAACAGTCTGGTGAGTTAGGATCAAGGGGGACAGTAGAAAAGGTTGATATGGTGCAAACAACTTAGACTTTTCAGAGCACAAGTTAAAAATTTGAATAATTTAAATGTATTTTAATTGTAGTTGGAAGCTGTTGTCGCCCCCCAGTACTTTAGATCCTTGACTGACCATTAGGTTTTGAAGAACCAGCGGGAGGGTGAAATACCCCAAACATTTCTACTTCTGTAATATGCACCAGAAACGTGTGCTGGATGTTTTCATTATGGAACAATTTAAAACATTGTTTTTCTTCCGAATGCTTCCTTTTCCCCATGATTTTTAAAAAATACTTCTCTGGATGAAACTGATGTCTGTAACCTGTACTGAAAAAAAAAAGGGAACATACGATGAAAGTTCACCTTATGTTTTGGGGTTGGTTTGTTTGTTTTCTTAATTTGGTTGGGTGGGTTTTGCTACCTGATAATAGTCCTAATGATGAAACCTGTGTACATACTTGAGCAAGACCTCTTGTCCCTTAACACCAGATACAGGAAAGTGTACAGAACACGTCATGTTTCTTATTCCATAGCTACCCATTACTTCCAGTTCTAGAATTCTTTGGACAAAAGTATTTAATTCTGCAGCAGAAACAAAGTTGTTCTCTGGGTTTTCTCCAGCTTGTGTTGTGTTTTGTTTTATATAATGCTATTTTTACTTGTCATCGAAGAATGATGATTCCAAAGGACGTGTGCTCAGCAGCCCTTTGCCAGCAGACAGTCTCTCATCTGAAACATCCCCAGCTCATTTGTACAAGACAAAGAACAAAGCAAGCAACTCTGGAGACATTCAGAAGTAAGTAATTCAAGTTTTTCTGCTTTAATTATCGGTCTGTTTCTTGGTAGAGTGTCCCTCTGCTCCATTTGCTTCTTTGGAATCCTGTAGTCCTGGATAATCTGGCGCAAATGCAAACTGTTGAATGTTAAAACATCTCCTCATAGGGTAATACGGAGGAGAAGGGAAACATTATATAGTATACTTTTTTTTTTTTTCCCCTTTAAGGTATCTGTCTCCAAAGCTTCATTGTGCATCGGGATCAGCATCATTCTCTAGAACAACAGAAAGAGGCAGGAGTGACTCTGGCTGTGTGGTAACCAGAATAATTTTGTTATAAATCCCAGTGTTAGTAATTGTGGGTTATTTTTCCCTTGCCTGTAGGATTGGCAATCCTGTATTCCCCTTGCATGTCAGCACTGGGTAATTTATCTTGCCCTTTTTGAACTACCTTCAGTGTTTGTGATTCCCCAAACCGGAAAGGGAAGAAGCCATGCTTGACAGCCCACAGATGCACGCTTACTCCGATAGCTGCCTCATGTAGCCTTACACATTCCTTGCCTGAATGTCTTCAGTGAGCTCTGGGTTGCAACCGATGGTGTGTAAAACTAAAACGAGGGTTCTGGAGCTCCCTGGAGGAGGTTGCCCTCTGATTTTCATCATTCCATCTGTCTGTCTGATCTTTCCTGTTAGGCTTCTAAAGAAGATGAGCAGGCTAATATCTTCAACAGTCGATTTGAGTCATTGATAAGAGGAGAAGGCAGCAGTTGTGGTTTTGGTCCTTTAGCTAGGCTTCTGTAGGTTGTTTTAAATATTTTCATTATTATTAAACAATTATGTGGGTTTTTTTTAAAAGAGAAGAATCCAAGTTAATATCCCGTTCTAGTTACAAGCAGTGGAGCTGTGAGAAGTGAGACTTGCATTTTAGTCATATAAATTGGCTTTTGATAAATTTACTTTATTAGCAGTCTCTCCCTTTTCTTCAGGAGGCCAGCAGCAATGAAGTCAGCAGTTCTGCTTGGCAAGATGAGCAAGAGGAAATACCAACCCTGTCTCCACAGCTGACGGATGTAATTAAAGATTCCAGTGCTAAGGATTCGTTTTTGGAAGCATGCATGAACTATTTCAGTGCCTTGGCTTCAGGGGAAACCGCCACTGTCAAGCAGGAAAGAACACCAGGACCAGATTGTCTAGGAGATGAAGTTCCAGATGCTCTTCATGGAGGCACAAAAGGGGAAGGGTCTAGAACAGTTCTTCGTAGACCCAAAGGAGATGATGGAGTTGAGTCAGACAGTGGCAGTGTAACACATGTGGAAAGCATAGACCCTGAAAACTGTAATGAAACTTATACCTGTATTCAGTCAGCAACAAATTCTGTGATGTCTGACAGCGAAAGTGTAATTTGTGATCTCACGAAGGTGGCTAGACACTCAGATGGAGAGAAACCAGAGGGGCTGCAGAACACTAAGGAGACTCCCAAAAGAAAGTCGCTGGATCCACCAGCTGAAGAAGCAGTGGGTGACTTGTGCGTGCTTGATAAGAGGAGAAGAACTTTTCCGGAAAGTTTAGAGGACCAAAGGGAGCAGATAAATGATTTTAACTTGCAAATGCAGAAAGCATTTGAGCAGGAGTTCTATGAAAGGCGTATGCAAGAGGAGCAGGACAGGCTTCTGGCTCTGCAGCTACAAAAACAGATCAATAAGGAGGAAAGAACACTTAATCGACAAAAGGGCTCTCCAGATGAGTACCTTCTTCGCACCAAACCGCCTCAGTCTGGGAAAGACTCTCCTGCTAGAAAGAGAAGTTCTAAGATGGCAAAAGACTCAAAGGTACCAAAAAAACAGGCTGAAACAAATCACCGCAAGACTCGGAAAGGTTCTTGCAATGAAAACTGGCAGTCCCCTACCAGAGTCCGAATGAAATCGCCCAGCATCAAGGGAGGAAAAGTTTTGAATTGTGTGGTTAATACCAGCGACACAAATGATATTTGTTCGCTACCCAAGAATACGCAAAAGACGATCCTTCAGATGTTTAAAAGCTCTGTTGCGGAGTAGATCAACAGAACCACTGACACATGGTGGAATGAGAATTAAAACCATGGTAATGCTTTCTCCTATGTTAACCAAAGTTTTCTGTAAACAGTTTTAAAGTTGTTGGTTTTGAGGGCGTTTGGTTTGAGTCACAAAGTTGTGTGTTCTGAGTTTTGGTAGCATACAACCCCAGACTTTAAAAAATTTTAATTGGTCTTCCTTGACTACAGCTTATTTTCTAGCACTTGCATTTACATAATATTGAATGTGAATGCTGTTAGTGTTTAAAATCCAAAATAACTGAGGGTCTTATCTTAGAATTTGGAGCCTGTTATGGAAAGGATGCACATTCCATGGAGGAAACAAGCAAGAAAAAAAAAAGGTCTCTATTTCCAGTTGTCTGCCAACTGCAAGGTTGAAGCTTTACTTGGCACAGCCACTGTTCTGTTAGCCTAAATCCCAATAACACGCTTCAGTTTATTTGTTGAATTGCATTGTTTGCACGACAGTTAACAGGAGGATAAACCGGACAGCCAGTCTTGCAGACACGCTCCTTCCCTCTCCCTCTCATATACTAACTCATTTTTGTTTTAGACAAAGAGGGAAAAACCATTCTCCCAATGACAAAGACAAGGATTTTTCACAGATGCCGATAGTGTAAGTGCTTGTGGGCTTGTATTTGCCTCTGTTTGTAGAGGTCACTTCTGCAGATCAGACTCTCACTGTCATTAGGAAGAAGATACTTTTGTTTTCTTATTGCTAGTGTTCTGCAACTTTATTCTTGTACGATAATATTACCTATATTTAGTGCTATTTAATTTTCATACTCAAACTGGTTTGAGTCTGATCAAAACCACATAATATTAAAATAAATAGTCCAGAAGACAGATATGATGGAGAAAGTTAAACCAAAGGGGGGAAAAGCAACTGAACTGGAGTTGTCGGTAATGACATAACTGTAATTAAAAGATTCATGAAACTACCATGCCTGGCTGTAGCTGTTCCTCCCCCTCCTCCATTTTTAGAGGGACTACCAAATACTGTCTTCCAATTGGGTTTAAAACGAATGTTGTTCACAAGAATTACAATTTAGGCACGCGGGGAAGCTGAGGCTTGTAGAAGTTGAGGCTGGTGAAGAGTTGCCCAGCTGCTACTCAGCAGAGGAGGTATCGTGCTAGATTGTTTTATGTGTTCCTATTATGACACCATCTTTTAGCCTTTCTTTGCTTGTAGTGAGATACTTTTCCGCCTGTACACGTTTGAAGGAGAGCAAAGGACCAGTCTACGTTGCTGAACTGTGTATGTGCCGATCACCAAAGTTTGCAAGTGTTTTAAATGCGTGCTTTTTTTGAACCTCGTAGGTGATCTACAGACTTCAACTCAGTTCTGGGAAATCTGTAACAAAATACTTCAAAGCAGTATCTTCTGATGTTTTAAGTTTAAAAACCAAACAAACCTGAAATTTTATTGGAAGCATGAACAGCACACCAAGCCAAAAATGTGAATTGGTTTTCTTCTTTGCCTGCATGTCTGTATTAATGGCGGGTTTCTCATAAATAAATGATCTAAAATGCTTTTTGAGAGAGTTAAAACAGGTGACCAGTTGCAAATCATTCACTGTTCCTCTTGCTGCCTCAACCACTGTGCTGGAAGCCTTCCTTCAATATAAATCTGTTTCTGTTTAATCCTTACCTTTGTTCGGGTTGTTTTCTGTCTTACCCAGGCAGTTAAGTATGATCCTTAATTATTTAAAAGTGTTCTTTAAGGCAGAGATATTGCCTCTTTTCATGCTAGTGCTGCTCGGCCTTTCCAGTCATGATACAAGAATGCAAGAAGTAAACTCTATTTTCAAAACAGATGAGGAGAAAGTTTTTTTCAGTCTGTTCAGCTCCATTTTACAATTAATTTCTGATGTTTATTTTTAACTTGCTCAAAAGGTGGTCCTTGCTCTGGCATGGAGCTCCTCCTTCCATGATCACATCTCCCAGTGCCTGCTGCCTGTTCTCAAGTATGCCCAAGCAGAGGCACCATGTGCTCCTTGGATTTACTGACATTTTGGTGTGATGGCTTGTTTAGGATTTTCAGAGCAAGTTGGAAATGGCTTGGAGTGGTGCGGGGCTGTTCCTGCCCTCCACAGGTCACCCCTGGAGCCAGCTGCTGCCAAAAGCCCTGAAGTTTATGCTGGATGCATTTCTCTCTGCAGTTTGAGACCTTGGTTGCTACGGTCCCGTCAGTACTGCCGTACCCCTCTGAGGCGTTTGACTGTCTGCCCCTTGACAGTCTGTTTGACTGTTCTTTTCAATTGCTGCTTTTAACATCTAGCACTGAAAGAGTCTGAATCTCATGTGGTTTGAACTGCTGGGCCATTCATGCGTAAGAAATAATCTTGTGTGTGTTAGAAATTCTGACCCTGGTTAATTGCTGTATTTTTCTCGGAACAACCATCATGATACTCTAGTATGGCAGTGCTGGCTTTGGAGTTGATTTTTTTTGTTTGTTTGTTTGATAGATACTTGGTGATAAAGGAAAGGAAGCATGCGTGGTCATACATGTATATCTCCAGATAAACACTGAAGAGCTGAAAAGAATGAAGCTAGAATTGAAATGTATATCCCCCCACTAGCCGTAACCTTCATTAGAGTTAATGAGAGCAGTAGATTAAGTTTGTTCTGGGGCTAGCGCTGTCCCTGTAGCAGGCTGACACTAAGTAACATGCACTTAGTCATAAGATAGGAGGAATTTTGTTTAAAAAACACAGTACAAGAGGTCATCAATACAGCAGGACCGTGCAGTCCAGCTGAGTACACCTCAACATGGAGGGAGCTGCCGTAACAGCTCTCTGCCAATGACAGGGTTCCTACGCTTGCACCAACTTTGCCGCTTGGGGACTCTCCACAATCTAACTGCAGTTGTTGAAGGGGTAGGGGGAAGCATCGAGAGGGGGCAGGGCAAGGGAAAAGGGAGAATTTCCCTTCCGGGCAGCTCAGCTGCACATGAAGCCATGTCCTGGTATATGGGATTGCCACATTTAACACCAGTTTCATTCCTTTTTCCTCCATAAGCTCTTTTGTGGATTCTTTCTTTTCCATTTTGATTTGTCGGTTATGTGTCTCTTCTGTATAGGGCTTAAAAAATGGACTAAACAAATCTCTGTTAGAAGAATTTCAGCTGTGGGAGGGGGGACTTTTTGCATCTTACTCTTCAGACTCACACAGGCTGACTTCTTTGCCATCAGTAGCAAATCCTGCTACTGTGATTCCATTGAAAAGAAATTTAAAAATTAGAGAAATTAGCCATTTCAAAGGTGTAAAGTACAGAAGTGTATTTTGGTGTGTGTGTATGTATACGGAGGGATGTTAAAGTAATTGGGGGTTATTTGTGTTTTTCCAATTTACTGGACTTTGTTCTCGGTGTAAGAATGACCTCACATAATTTTTTTTAAGCAGAATGGAAAATAAGCAAGACTAAATAGCCAATAGCTAGCTAAAACCCAACCTTAACCGCAAAATATAGGAAATATATATAACCTATACCAGGCCAGTCCAGCAGCCTCCTCCAAGGTGGGCTACTGTGATGATCACGTTCCTCACTGCGTGTATGGCACAATAATCCCCACCAAGCACCTTTTTGGCCTGTCCTTTTGAATTTTTCTTCTCAGAGGGTAGAGTTTGGCCACTGCTGCGTGCATCTTGGTTGCACTAGCACCCTGTTTCCAATGCTACAATCCAGGAAGTTTGAAGCAGGCGAAATCAACTTTGACTGATTTAACATCTGTGAAGGAAGAGTCTGTACTTAGGCTGTCTGAGCTGCTGGTGTTAACAGTTCACTGCTGCTCAAAAAGGTGAGCTCACCTTCTGCCCTCAGCTAGCTGTAGTGGTTCATTTTAAGTTCGGCTCATCCAACTGCCAGGGAAAAAAAAGCAAGTACCAAAAAACCCAAATACTTTGACAGGCTTGGTCGCTTCCCTGAGAGCCAGAGCTGGTGTGGGGATGGGAGGTAGCAAGAGGAGCAAAAGAGGGAACAGATCTTACCTGTTTTCATGGCAGCAGGCTTTTGAATTGTGTTAGACTTCTAAGGAAACCTCTGCTTTCTGTGGTACTCGCTTTGGTTGACACTTGTTAATGAGAAGGTGCTCTGCGGCTGTTAATGACTCCAGCCTGCGGACAGTTTTGGCAGCAAGCCAGCCATGTGCCGCCGTGCTATGCTGTAAAACAACTGAAAGTAGTAAAATGTTCCTTTCTACAGGCGCAATTTCTGCAGGTGGCACAGGGATCAAAACCGCCCAACGTGCTCGTTGCTGAGGCTGTTTCTCTTCCAACTTTGAACTGACAAGGAAAGTATCCTGATAGCAAGGGCTGCCTTGTAAGGAGCTCCCCTGATGGGAGCAGCCACGACATTTCTTGGCCACCTCTGGTCCTACCTCACCCTTGCATCACGTATGTGATTCCACGTGAGGGCGAAGGCCTGCCAGAGCCCTTGCTTTGGTGCAGGCATCTCGGACGACATAAAAATGCGGGGCAGCCCTGGCCTCGCGTCGCAAGTGTTTCAGTGCCACCGTTGAGGCCTCTGCTCCCTGCGGCCCGCGATTAACGACGGCGGAGAGTCTGATATGAAGGGGGGAAAGCTCC